GAGCCTGAAAGAAATACACAAACCACACCAAGATTCAAGTAAGAATACACATGCTTTTTGTTACATAGTTACATAGTTAGTCTGGCTGAAAAAAGACTAAAGTCCATCTAGTTCAACCATAAAAAAAAATAAAATAAAATTATAATCCTATATCCATAGTTGATCCAGAGGAAGGCAAAGAAAAACACTGCAAAGCATGGTCCAATTTACTTCTGCAAATCATCTTGTATTACACTTATTATACTTGTAATATATTATATTTGTTATCCAGGGGGTTGACCTTTGAAGTATATCCAAAGCTAAATCATTTTTTTTCATATTGGATGGTGTAAAGAATGGTTAGAACCCCTGCTAAGTTTTTTAATTACTAGTAGAGATGAGCGAATCGAACATGACGAAGTGGAATTCATTTCGAAGATTAGGAAATATTCGATTCGCGCCGAAAATTAGCAAACTTCGGATGTACGAATCGAATTTTCCCAAAAATGGCGGCGACATGTGTGGCGACGGAGCGGGGATCTCTGGGAAGGCGTGCAGACAAGGCGCGCTGACCCATAATGCATTCATTCATGACATGTGATTGCATTAGCCAATCAGCAGCCAGCCAGCCAGCACTGTGTAATGGTGGAGCTATAAATCGCGGCCATCTTTAGAATTCTCCATTAGCCTCCAGTCATTCAAGAGAGACAGACCTCTGTGTATTAGGGACAGAGTTAGGGCCACAGAGACTTTAGGGCCACAGAATCGTTACTTAGGGACACAGAATCGTTACTCAGGGACACAGAATCGTTACTCAGGGAAACAGAATTGTTACTCAGGGACACAGAATCGTTACTCAGGGACAGACACAGAATTGTTACTCAGGGTCACAGAATTGTTACTCAGGGACACAGAATCGTTACTCAGGGACACAGAATCGTTACTCAGGACAGACACAGAATTGTTACTCAGGGACACAGAATTGTTACTGAGGGACACAGAATCGTTATCTCAGGGACACAGAATCGTTACTCAGGGACACAGAATCGTTACTGAGGGACACAGAATCGTTACTCAGGGACACAGAATTGTTACTCAGGGACAGACACAGAATTGGTTACTCAGGGACACAGAATTGTTATCTGAGGGACACAGAATCGTACTCTCAGGGACACAGAATTGTTACTCAGGGACACAGAATCGTTACTCAGGGACACAGAATCGTTACTCAGGGACACAGAATTGTTACTCAGGGACACAGAATCATTACTCAGGGACACAGAATCGTTGAATTAAAGAGTATGTCAGACAACACGCAGAGGAGTGGCAGAGGAGGCAATGTTTCAGGAGCGAGCAGACGTGGCAGCAGAGGAAGGGGTCGAGGCAGCACTAGTCGCAGCCAGAGGCCAGTGCTCCCGGTGTCATCCAGCGGTCGTGTCTCCACCGACAACCCTGCCGTCATCGATTGGTTGGCTCGGTCGTCTTCCTCTTCCAGGTCACCTCTGACACCTACAGCCAACGGTCGGTGGGTACGTCAGAACAAACCGTTAGTTGGCATGGCCCGGAGCAAGCCCACTGAAATCACGTGTCTCTATCTGCCCCTGTCCTTTTGGTGTTCCCTCACCAAGCGAAGTATCGCATGCTGTGGGCTCAGCCCCAACTGTACAGTGAGGAAGAGCTAACAGAGGGCGGTCAGGAACGGAGGGAGACATCCGCCTCTTCAGCAGCCAGGCGAAGAAGTAGTGGCGAGGAGAGTGGCTCGGTAGCCGGTCTAGAGACAGGTCTGTCTCCTGACCCCACACGCAGCCGAGGGGGGCTAGTAGTGAGGCGGAGACCCTAATTGATGATGATGAGGCTGATCGCACTTGGCAGCCTCGTCGTCATCAGGCTATTGCTTCCATCTTCAGGGAGAAGAGGGTGCCAGCTTGGCAGCGAGCAAAACAGTCGGTGGGTTGCCCAGGAGGCAGCGAGGGTCGCAGCAGTGTCAGTGGAGGCAAACGGCCACGGAGTAGAGCACCAGCTCCACTGCAGCCTACCACCACGGCCAGTAGTGGTGCCGGTGTGCACGGAGGAAGTAGCAGTCAGCCAGTGAGGAGTAGCGGGGGCAAAGTTTCCTACACTCGGGCGGTGTGGGAATTTTTCGTCAAGCCGCCCGAGGAAGTAAACGTAGCCGTATGTCGACCTATGTGGCCAGAAAGTCAAGCGTGGCCAAGGGGCCCATGTTGGGACTACAGCGTTACGTCAGCATATGCAGCGTCGCCATTCGGTGGCCTGGGAAAACCGTGATAAAGATACGGCGGTTCTGCCTGCCCCAGCCCCCGCTCCATCACCCGCTCCGTTACTTGCTCCGTCACCCGACGTCAATCGCCCACTATCAGCCAATCAAGGCTCCAAACACCTCTGCTGAGGGGAGTTGTCGCTCGTTGGCATCTTCCGCTCGTTTCATATGCTCCTTCTCCTGCTACTCCTCTTCACGGATTCCGTCAGCAGTCTTTTTTGGAATCCGTTTCCAAGAGACAACAGTTTGCGAGCACGCACCCGACGGTGCAGAAGCTGAACGTCCTCCTGTCCAAGTTGCTGGTGCGGCAGTCCCTCCCTTTCCAAGTGGTGGACTCAGCACCTTTCCGAGAAATGATGGCTTGTGGCTTGTGCCGCGCCGCGGTGGAGAGTGCCAAGCCGGCATTTCTTCGCCAAAAAGGCAGTGCCAGCCCTGCATTCACATGTAGAAGAGATGGGGGCCAGTCTTTGAGCATGTCGGTCTCTGCCAAAGTGCACGTCAGCGCCGACGTGTGGAGCTGTAACTACGGTCAGGGACAGTACATGTCATTTACGGCCCACTGGGTGAACGTGGTGCCGACACAGCCGCACCAGCAACTTGGACAGGTCATGCCGCTTTTGCCTCCACGTTTGCATGTCCTTGGTCCAGCAAAGATGTCCGCCTCTACCACCTCTTCTTCCGCCGTGTTGTCCTCAGCCGCCACCCCCGTGCCAAGTCCCATTACCCAACCGGCATATCACATGTGCAGGGCGCAACGGGTGTCACGCTGTGCTGCACCTGGTATGCCTTGGCGAACGTAGTCACACAGGGGAGGAACTTCTGAGTGTAATGAACAGAGAAATCGACAGATGGCTGTCTCCGCGCAAACTGAAAATCGGAACCATGTTGACCGACAACGGAGAGAACATGGTGTCTGCTCTGCGTCAAGGAAGGTTGTCCATGCGCTATGCATGGCTCACGTGTTCAATCTGGTTGTCAAGCGGTTCCTAAAATCCACCATCCCACTGCAAGACATCCTTAAAATGTCACGTAAACTTTGCATGCATTTCAGCCATTCCTACACCGCAAAGCACACCCTCCTTGAGCTGCAGCGGCAGAACGGAATTCCACAGCATCGCCTGATCTGCGACGTTGCAACAAGGTGGAATTCAACCCTACATATGTTAGACCGCCTTTACGAACAGCGAAAGGCCATCACCGATTTCCTGATGTTACAAGCGGATAAAGGTACTCCCCTGTGTAACTTAGATGTCAGTCATTGGCAGCTCATGCGTGACACTGCCGCTTGCTCAGGCCCTTTGAGGAGGCCACGCTATTCGTGAGTCGGCAGGACTATGGGATGAACGACGTCATTCCTCTGTTGCACGTCCTGGAACAAATGCTGTTAACAATGGCTGGTCAGGGTGCGGTAGACGTGGCGCACAGATCTCAACGCCACATGACCCCTGTGGGGGCAGGACAGGAAGAAGAGGAGGAGGTAGAGGAGGACATTGGTGCTCAGGAATTATTGAGTGAAATGGGTGGTTTTTCCACTAAGCGGACAGGAGTGGAGGAGCAGGAGCATCTGGTAGAGGAGGAGGAGGAGACAGAGGACCCAGACGCACCGTGGCAGTATGCTGTGGAGATGGAGGCAGGGAGTCCCTCGCATTCCTTGGCACAAATGGCCCATAGCATGCTCGGTTGCTTGCGTAGCAACAGCCGAATAATAACCATCAGACAGAGGGATGACTTTTGGCTGTCCACCTTGTTGGACCCTCGCTACCGTTCAAAAATGGTAGCCTTTTTCACACCTGCTGAGAGGGAGACCAAAATAACGTACTATAAAAACCACCTATGTAGTCAGTTGGTCTCTGCCTTTCTGCGCCAACGTCCATCCTCAGACACTGTGGGCCCTGTGCGCTCGCGTTCCACTGCCATGGCAGCAGGGGAGGGGTGGGGTGGTAGGAGCAGTGGCAGCTCCACCAGCAGCGGCTGCCTCAGTCTGCAGTCGATGATGAGTAGCTTTCTTCACCAGCGCAGTGAGGAAACTACTAACCAGCTGCAGCAGCAGCAGCATCAGGTGGACCTGGAGCAGGACCTCAAACAACAGGCTTGGGCCTACTTGGACAGCAGCCTGCCAACCGAGGTAGACAATCCCCTTGACTACTGGGCAACGAAACTTGACCTTTGGCCCCAACTAGCTGAATTTGCCCTTGAAAGGCTGTCATGCCCGGCCAGTAGCGTGGCATCGGAGCGCGTGTTTAGTGCGGCAGGAGGTATTGTAACTCCGCGGAGGACACGACTGTCCACCCAAAGTGTGGAGAGACTCACGTTTGTGAAAATGAATCAGGCGTGGGATTAGTCTGGATTTCAAACCACCAGTTCCTGACACAACTGACTAAATCCGCAATGAATCATGCCCCAAACATGTTATTATTTTTAACATAGGCCTCTGTATGGCCTTCAATTTAAGCTGCTTACGCTTCGCCACTCTGCCATGGGCAATAAAATCCGTGTACCGCCTCCTCTTGCTGCTGCCAGGTCCAGAGTGTGTCATGGGTCCCTGTACGGCCTCCCATTGCTGCTGTCTCCATCGCCACACTCTGCCATGTGCCACTTTCAGGTCTCCTCACACTGCTGGTGGGTTCCATTTTGTCATAGGGTGCTGGCAGATTACAGGCCTCCCATTGCTGCTGCCAGGCCCGTAATCTGCCATGGGCCCCCGTACCGACTCCTATAGCTGCTGCCAGGCCTGTAATCTGTCATGGGCCCCTGTACCGCCTCCTCTTGCTGCTGCCAGGTCCAGAGTGTGTCATGGGTCCCTGTACGGCCTCCCATTGCTGCTGTCTCCATCGCCACACTCTGCCATGTGCCACTTTCAGGTCTCCTCACACTGCTGGTGGGTTCCATTTTGTCATAGGGTGCTGGCAGATTACGGGCCCCCATTGCTGCTGCCAGGCCCGTAATCTGCCATGGGCCCCCGTACCGACTCCTCATGCTGCTGCCAGGCCCGTAATCTGTCATGGCCAGGCCCGTAATCTGCCATGGGACCCCGTACCGACTCCTCATGCTGCTGCCAGGCCCGTAATCTGTCATGGGCCCCTGTACCGCCTCCTCATGCTGCTGCCAGGTCCAGAGTGTGTCATGGGTCCCTGTACGGCCTCCCATTGCTGCTGTCTCCATCGCCACACTCTGCCATGTGCCACTTTCAGGTCTCCTCACACTGCTGGTGGGTTCCATTTTGTCATAGGGTGCTGTATGGCCTCCCATTGCTGCTGCCTCCACCGCCACACTGTGGCTCCACACTCTGGTTTTGGCCCCGTGACTGCCCAAATGAGTGAAGTGTGCGGTGATTCTAAGATCGACGGCACTCATCTGCATGTCATACTGACTGACAGTATTATTTCTCTTCCCCAGCAGACTCCAAGGGCATTTAAATTAAAGGTACAGTGTTCTGCACTAATATAAAGGCTCTCTGAAGCCTAGAAACACCCTTTTTATAAGTTAAATTCGCAGCGAATATATTCGACTCGAATCGAATTTATTCCGCGAATTCGCCGAATCAGCCGAATCGAATTTTTTAATAATTCGCTCATCTTTAATTACTAGTCATGTACTATTGAAGAGATTTTCCTTCTTTTCCTTTCCTGTAGCTACAACAAATGTTTACAAAGTTCCGGGGACTTACTAATTTGGATCTTCTTTTTAATTTTAGTCTTGATGACGACGGTCAAAAGGACAAACTTGCAAAAGAGTAAGTCAGTCTTTCTAATATTGGCCCAGACTATGACAACACCTCAACATGGTCCAAAAAAGTGAACATGGGAAGATAGAAGCATAGAAAACCATGTGTAGTTATAGGACAATCCAATCCATCTTTAAAGGCAACCTGTACGGAGAAAGATATACAAACTATCCCTGCTTTACCACATCTTCTAATGTTAGTTGCCTAGATGGTATCCAAATGCATTCTTCAGTACTTTCTGAGTCACTGGCCAGAGGCCGAAAGGCAAATTAGGAGTACTGGGTTAGCTCTGACTTATCTAAGGCTGCAACCTATTTTTAGGTCAGTCACTCTGATGGAGTTTAGACATAGCAGCATTCATGTTTTTCTGAATATGGGTTCTCTTTAAACATGGTTTAAGCTCTTCCACACCTTCCAAGGTAGTGAAGGTCAGATCAGTAGTTTTTGGCAGAAACAGTTCAGCACTGTAGGACTGTTATGAAGGATTGTGTGTTTTTGGGGTTCAAAAAGATAAGTACATAAAGATAGAGGTTATTTTAGTAAAAAGGTGTTACAGTTAAGACTTTAGGTCACAGTTAGGATTCAGGTTTAAGGGATATTTTAATGTTAATGTGTTAGTTCACCTTTACAGATCATCTGTAACACTTAACACCGGACCCTCTCCCCCTGGTCCTGCTGTACTTATCTCCCACAAACCTGAGCAGACAGGGCCCCTCAAGCCGATCCACTGGTCCAGGGATTTGAAATCCCCACAGCTTACTCTCCTCTCTGTTCAGCACTGACAGGATGGACTAGATGGTTTCTAATTGGTCAACACTGTCCATGTGACAGAGCTGACTAATTAGAATCTGTCTGGTCTGTACTGGCAGCACAGTGTGGAGAGGAGAGAAAGCAGCAGGGAGGGGTTCTGGTGTTAGATGTTACAGATTTTCTGTAAAGGTGAACTAACCCTTTAAAGATAGGTTTAGTGTTGAGCCAAGAATGAGGATCAAGGGCTAATTCCAAGCAATTGCATAGCTAAGCCTGGGTATTGTGTCCCATATATCTTGCTTAAAATGAAAAGAAAGAAAAAAAAGAAAAATGTCAGAAAGCTTTTTACATTACAGCATTTTTTTTGTCTCACTCGAAGGTACAGTTTCAAGAGGGTCAGATAACTGTGTAATAAACAAACAGAAGGCACCACCATCTAAGTGTATATATTTAATAATTAAAAACAAGTAAAGGAAAGGGTTAAAATACACTCACAAGGATGAGAGTAAATGGCTGATGAGTTCTGAAAAACAACAATGTGGAAGCAGCTACCACTGTTTAGCAATTTGAGGATCAAAGGCACATTGATTGCAAAAGGAAATGCTCCCACTCTCTGGAAATAGAGTGGCCAAAAGGTTATCAGTCCTTCTTCGCTGGCAAGCCTCGGTGGACAGCGGGTGGATGGATGGATGGATAAGATGTATCCATAAAACAGCTCTGCAGGATAGGTGAAATAAAGCTGTCAAAGAGTGATGGGTGGTAACATGTTTTGGAGTCCACAATCGCTCCTTTGTCTTTGGTTTGACAAAGGAGCGATTGTGGGCTCCAAAACAATTTACTACCCATCATGCTTTGAAGTCAATATGTCCTGACATCACTTCTGATTCCGGTCCTAGCGCTGGCTTGCGTTCCAGTGTGGCTATATTTGCTGCTGGAGGAAGACACAGCCTGTCATATGGGCTTAATCTGCATTCTGACAGAGTCCAGCTTTATTCCACCTATCCTGCAGAGCTGTTTTAAGGATACATCTTATCCATCCATCTATCCACCTGCTGTCCACCAAGTCTTGCCAGCGAATAAGGACTGATGATATGCCCATTTACTCTCATCCTTGCGAGTGCATTTTAACCCTTCCCTTTACTTGGTTTTAATTAAATTTATACACTTAGATGGTGGCACCTTCTGTTTGTTTATTGTTTTAGTGCACAGAGACATCCAATACCCTGTCAAAAGAGCTGAAACCATTATAGAAGTAGATTAAAACATGTGGATTGCTTGGGACCTAATCACTCTTTCTCCGTTTGCGCTATAGAGTTTTTTATGTTTTTGTACTCCGATAACTGTATGCCCAACTGAATGCTGTGTTTGCATCTTCCAACCCCTATGTCACAACAGGACACTAATTTTCCCTAGAGCGTGGTAAATGTTTTAAGGGTCTGCTGATTTCCATCATTATTTTTCTTTTCCCTGATTGGGTATTCTTTACAAAGTGAAGCACATTTACTAAGGAAAATGAGTGCAACTGCACTTGGAAGGTGCATAGTCTATTTGCTTTTAGTAAATCAACTTCAGCAGTAGCATTAGGGTCATGGTGTGTGGCAGGGCACTGGAGTCCTCTACTTCTGGAAGTGTTGACAAGTTTTAAGGAGGTTTTTTTTCAACTTGAGAGGGCTGGTTTAAAATAGTTCTATTGTTTGTTTTAGTAAATGTGGAGCAGAATAATCGAAACTTGAGATCACATTCAACCCTCTATTAAAAAGCCAAAACACCTTTTTGATTAGCGGTAGAGAAGTGAAACACTATCTTTCCATTGCTCCTGACACATGCTGTCTATAACACAGCAAACCGCAAACTGCTTGGAGCACAAGCAATTAATAAGAATGAACAGTTTTAATCCAAGGTCATTTTGCTTTCTGCTTCTACGAGAACTCCTCATTTAGCCTCACTATTGACATGGTCATGATGCACTGTGTTGATTATCCAAGCGCTACAACTTGCTTCATTGTGGACACACATTGGACTAGTTCTCTATGTGGTTACACCCAAGCTGTAGATCTGAATGCCAACATGATACATAAGGTTCCGTGATCCCAATGATGTTGAGGTCTTGCTTTTCCCCCCTGGCAGAACAGAGCAGCTGTTTGTCTTACTGTCCCAGTTTACTGCCATGGAGCAATCTAGCACAGCAGGGAAAGGGAATCCGATCTGGCAAAGCAAGCCGTTTTTGTACATATAAATGGTGCTGATACTAATTCATTTTCCATGTGTGAATGCAGATGAGTAAATCATATCTCAGTGGTACAGTAAATCACTGATGTCAGCCATTCTTGAAGTGTGAGGATTCCTCCCAGCTTCTGATGTTTGATGTATAGAATTCCGCGCTTGATAATTTGCATTCTGAGTGAAATGTATGGAAAATGCAGCCGTAGACTAGTTATTTGAAAACTGTGTGCTTTTTATATATATATATATATATATATATATATATATATATATATATATATACACGCACACATAAACACACACACAGTATATCTATATATATATATATATGTATATATATATATATATGTATGTTATATATGAAAGGGAAACTAGTTTTGTTAAAGAATAGTGCCCCTGGTCTAATACGTACAATACATATACTGCAAACATTCTAGCAAATGTACTGAAACACGTAACTTAGTTTATGACTATCATTACATTTTTTAAAGTAAAACTTTTCATGAGTAGATACCAGTATTTTATTTTCCAAAGGTTTGGCAAATCCTGCTTGAAATCTGGCAAACTCAACCATAACAATGAAACCCATTGAACACTATAACATGTTAGTAAACTCTGACCATTTTTCTCACTGTTAGGCAAACTATTGTCAAAAAACGCATGGGGTGCTATGCACTGCCATGAAGGACATGTACTGTACCAATTCAAATGTAAAAAAAAAAAAATATTGTACAGAGGGGAGAATACCTTGAAGGCAAGTTTCCTCTGTATACTTATTTTACCTGTGCTCCCTTGCCACTCCTTGCTCCTCCACAGCCTGAAAGTGACTTGCTCCCCTATAACGGTGTCCAGACCTAGAAGCCAATCCTTATTCCTGAATGCTATTACATGACTGGGAAATTATATCACCACTCTCCCCTGGGTGACCAACACAGTTCCGGTTGAGTAGGTGCAAGAAGCTGCAAAGGAAAGCAGATAAGATAAGAGACCAATTAATTTTTATAAAAGTGAGACATTCAACTGTGTCAGGGGACAGGCAAATGTATCTATTTGTCAAAAAAACATGCCCACTGCACTGAATTCCATCTCTGAGAGCACACCTACCACAGGGCAAGCCAATAGCTACATGGTGAATCGTTCAAGTTCGAGTTAGTGGTCCAGCCCAGACACCAAAAAGTCCCTGGGTTTCTTGGTTTGAATGTTTTCTGTATCCTCCCTGACCCCGGATAATCCGAAATCATATGGTTTAAGAGCTGCCTGTGACTGCTGTCAGCAGCCAGGCTTGGCTGCTGAGTTCTGAAAAACAACAACGTGGAAGCAGCTACCACTGTTTAGCAATTTGAGGATCAAAGGCACATTGATCACAAAAGGAAATTCTCCGACTCCCTGGAAATAGAGTGGCCAAGAGGTTCTTCTGCAGCACATCTTCCAAGCTGTGCTCCTTTGAGATAAAAGCAGGAGATCTGCCATTTTCCCCTTGTATTAGGGCTCCAAAAAGATAGCCAAACAATAATGGTTCCTCTCCTTCAGTGACAGAATCCTGGGGTTTTTGTGCAGGGACTCCACCATGAATGATCCCATTCACCACAAATTGCTAGTAGCAGAGGACCTTGAGTCCTTGCTGTCGCTGAAATGATACTGTATTTCAACAATCTCAACCCTCCACATGTACAACTACCAGGGTTCGGGAGGGGTAAAATATACCCCAGAAAACCTGTCCCATGCTCTCCTCCTTGTACTCATGACCAGT